AACCATAGCCCCATATCCTCTGGGTAATCGTGTACCCCCGCATCCTATAGGTAACTATGTACTCCCACTTCCTCTAGGTAAACATGTGCCTTCACATCCTATAGTCACGTAACCCTGCATCCTGTAGGTAACAAGCATCCATGCACATCTACATCCTTCCTGCACACCCTGTACCCCATGCTCCAACTCAAACTTACAATTAAGTAGAGTTTTCTTTGTGGTGTCTACTATATCACACATAAAAAATCTCCAGAATGCTGGGTCGTCTTCCAGCCTGAAGGAAGATAGCAGCCTTAGAATGTTCCATATTCTGGCCCACCTGGAGTCTGGTGGAGCCTGGTTCTCTGGGAAGCCTGATAAGGTGTCATTTTCTTGGTCTGTAACCGTAGAACCATGACCCACAACACTCCATGATGGGAAGTGTGTGCTGCATCTCCGCTCCCCAAAGGAACTTCTGTGTCTCTTTTAAATGTCACTGTTAAGGATGGACAGTGGATGCCCCAGTGTCCTCAGGCCACTCCCCAGCACACCCTGCCAGAGGATCATGAGGACAATCACCTGTCAGCGTTCCCCACCACAACCGTGACACAATCTTCCTCTTTCCCATTTCATACCCATAAACCTACCTAATGTTTTGCAACTCAGATTCTACTCTATTTGGAATCAATAACCACTTAGAATTAAAATTCGAGCCAAACTATAAACCATAAAAGCCCCTGATTATTTCATTAGTAATTTGCTAATTGGCATTAGATATTTAATTACACTTTCCAAATATTTGATGAATTATTTCAGCTCTGTGTAGAAAGCTAGTGATGGGGGCTACATTTTTCAGGAAACACAAAGCCCTGAAAGAAAACTCGCAGGAAGTGCTGGTGTCTATGTGTGTCTGCGGCTCCAACAACTGGTGAGGGGATTTGTTCCGTCTTTGAAGGAGCCCACCCAGACGGTCATTAAGTCTAGCTGGGCATCCAGGGGCCTAAGCTGTTACCTCTCCCCAGCTTTGTTCACCAACTGTACTCTGTATTCACCCTTTTCTTTCGGAGACATTGTCTTTTCTGCTTTGATCTGCTTGCCACAACAGAAGGTGATTTCTCCCCCTCTTTTTATCCTCCTGATGGGCTTTTTTGACGTGGATAAAAAGGAATCAGCCTCTTAGCCCTCATCCCTCACTCTCACCCTGTCCCTTGTCCTTCCAATCCATCTCGCAGCAGGCCTGTCTGCATTGGACACCAGATGGCCCCCACAACCTTCTTAGGATGGATTTGCATTAGATAGCACTCGGTCTCTGGCTCCCTCCTGTAAGGTGTGGGAGCTGTTTCTCTAGGAGGAAAAAAAATGATAATTTCGGTACAAGAAAAAAAAAAGCACAAATCTTCATTTCTCTTTCTTGTGATATCCTTCTGGGGATAAGCAGTTGCTGAATTCATGAAGCCTCCAAAGGGTGTTCTGTTCCTCAAACTATGCACAGGGCTCAGGCCCACTGCACACCAGCCTTATGGGCCAGAGTCTCACCGGACAATGTGGAAATTGGTGTGTTTCCAGCTGGGTGTTTGCCCTCACTTGGTCTGGGCCTCTGAAGACATCGCTTGCCTTTCCATTGTGCAGGCAGAGTGGGAGCTGAACTGGACGCAAGACGGGAACGGCTCCACTGCTCACACACTGTGCTAGAGACAAATTTCTTCCTGATTCTCACACTGACTCTTCCATTACTCTCTTATTACTCTGTGATGGGCCACACATGGGACCTGCAGTGACTTCCAAAGAAATCCAGGAGGCTGCATCCCAGACACAAGCCTGCAGCATATATAAAAGGAAGAGTCTGGCCTTTAAAGGGCCATCCTTACCCAACCCAGAGCTCACGGAGCAGGAGGCAAAAGTATGGGCCAACACCACCTCCACCTGGGGGTGCTATGCACAAAGATGAGTTGTTGGGAATTAGATTGAGGACCCCAAAAGTCCTTTGAGAGATATAGATACCTAGGTGGACATGGTCGTGCAACCTATAATCCCAGTACTCCAGGAGGCTGAGTCAGGAGGATCACAACTTCAAGCCCAATCTGGGCAACTTAGTACAAAGGCCCTGGGTTCGGTCCCTAGTACTGGAAAGAAAGGAGATGCAAATACTTGTTTCTTTAAACAGGTTTGCTTCAAAGTGAGAACAATCATTTTGTTTGGAATGTCAATGGGGGAGGCCACAAATGAAGCCTGAAGACCAAGGCCCCGGCTGGGCTGTGTCTGTCCACAGATACTCTTGGAAAGAAGTACAGGAAACAAAGGGAACCTGGACTGGGCACTCGAGGCAACTCAGCCCTGATTGGCTCTCGAGATCCTCACTTAACTCTCAGGTTGCTCAACTGTAAAATGGAGCCAGTGGGGCCAGCCCAGGTCATTGACAGAAGAGACACCTGGAAACCAGTTCTTCACAAGTCACAAGCACCAAGGCCCACAGAGGACAGGGAGGTGGGGGTTCCTGAGCCATTGGTTTCCCATTCCTCATCTGGTACCTGGCTTTAAAAGGTACCTCTATTTTTAACCAGGCTGTAGAAGTGGATATGCAAGTTTTTATGAGAAATTGGCACAAATCTCCTTGGAAATAGAGTGGGCATAAAGTAGAAACCAGTAAAACGTTTTTTCAATAGAAATCTAGCTGCAGTGATCAACGCCGAGGAGACCCTTTGTCCCTCTCTGCACTTGGAGCTGGTGGATTGTGACAGGGGATTGAATCCAGGCACCACCCCCATCAGGCTGGGGACCACCTTCCAGCTCTGGCTCATCTCTGTCCTGGTGTGGTCCACAACACGGTCCCGGGGCCCCAGGGGCATCCTCCCCTGCACAGTGCCTGCCCCTCTTTCTGGGCAGCTCTATCATCTCCACCACTTCCAGGTGCTTGGAAGAATCAGTTCTTCAGTGTTTAACAAATGAGTAAAAGAGAAAATCCCATAATTCAACTGGAAACAAAGACCAGATTGTAAGAAGATCCTTATCATGCAGGTAAATCTCAAAGCCAAGGTGTAGCTCATATGATTAACTGCTAAAGCCGATTTGCTTTGCTTGGGTGATTTCCTTCCCCATTTTCTACTCTCAGTCCCACAAGACCCTTGGGGCAACAGCAGGGACATCTCCTACAGGAAGTCTTTTGGGATCCCCAGCAGAATCTTCCCCCACCCCTGTGGTTCTCTGTCTCCCACTCTGGGACTGAACACCTATTCCGGTAATATCCCCTGTGACATATCATTCTCCTTCCTTCCAGGGGACTGGCTGTCCCTTGCTAGGATTACCTGAGCTGGCTCCTTCTGTGTTGGCCCCATAGTGTAAATGATGACACAGATTGGGTGTTTGGGACAATTTTGTCTGTCTGTCTGTCTGCCTGCCCACCTATCTATCTTTCTGTCATCTAATCTATCTTTTCATTACTTAGGATTGAACCCAGACTTTCACAATGAGCTACATTCCCAGAACTTTTCACTTTGAAATAAATAAGTCACTAAATTGCCCAGCCTGGGGTTGAGCTTGTGATCCCCCTGTCTCAGCCTCCCAGAATGCTGGGATTACAGGCATATACCATCATGCCTGGCTTCCAGTTTTGTTTGAGAGTGAGAGGTGGGTAAAATAAACTGGAGTCATGGACCTTGAGAGCTAGAGAAGGAAGAACCCCTTGAATTTGGGATACCAAGCGTTACTCCACAGAAAGAACATGCTGAGGCCCAGCCTAGGCACTTGTTTACTAAAGATTCTGTCTCTGGTCCCAGGAAGAGAGTACAACAAAGTTGCAGGAAGAGAGGCTGGGGAAAATGCACTCCTGGACCTTTCCAGAAGGCAAAGAGTCCCTTCTCTGGGCATGAGAGCAGTTGTGGCCCTCAGGGCTGGCCTTCCATTTGAACAAGACATTATAGCAGTGGGGATTGTCAAGACTAAGGGCATCCCAGGAGCTGGTGTCACTGGAATAGACTCTATGTGCAGATGTATGGACGTTTACCTTTAGAGTCTTTGAGTGTGTAAAATACTTTTCTACCCTGGAGATAAGGGGTGTTGGTTGAGGGGACCTTCGGGAGGCAGGTTGGGTGTGGGACAGTAGAGAAAGGAAGGTTAAGTCTCCTGAGAGGAAGTTTCCAGAAGCTTTTTTGCACACGCCCAGAAGACTTCAGTAAAAATGCCTGTTTCCAGATCACTTCAGTAAGTAGGAACCCAAATAAGGGGCAACTCACTCCATCTCTACCTTCTGGGTCCTGGGAATCTTAACAGACAAGAAAGTGTTGTGTCTTTTGTGTCCTGTGATCCAGTGTTTCAGCCCAACAATCCACCCACCCAAACATGTACTCACACCAGTGTACACACAGACACCCCAAGATTGAGGGCAAGATGAAAGGCTGGCATATAACCTGGTCCTTAACAAACCCTTCCTGTCTCCCTCTCCCACACGTATGGATGACTGTGCACACTGTCCACCAGGCTCTTTGTCAGGGTCAGCAAGAAACTGGCCTGGTCCCCTTTCCTCTTGGAACTCTGAGTCTAATGGGAGACACACACTCAACCAAATAATCAGGAGCCCCAATCACTAGGAAGGGTAGCATTTGGTAGGAAGGAGAGAAAAGACACCTGCTAAAGGGGACAGGAAAGGAAATGTCACCTAATTGTCTCTGGAAGGTCAGGTCAGCCTTACCTACCCTATTTTGAAATAATGGGAAAAATATTCAAAAGCAAATGTGAGTAAAGCCCTTTCTGTCTGCTAAGAATATGTGTTTGTAGGCGGACATTGAACGAGTTTATATCAGTGAAGGAATAATTACCTTTTGCCTGGGAGCTGAACTTTGGAGACTTGGTGAAGGCTATGGCTGCTGAATTTGAGAGCAAATGCAAAGGCCACAGCAGGCATTTGGTAAGGGTACTAACTTGCTTGGCACAATGAGGTCTGAGAAGGTAAGTACATGATTATTTGTTTCAGTTACTGGAGAGAGAGAGGTGTCCTGCTAATAAGCAAAGAGATGGAATCCAACAGAGAAATTTGGCATTGAGTTTTAAAGGATCTCCCCTCCTTCCTCCATCCTATTCCCTTGGGTCACTAGTGAAGTCCTGGAGCCAGCTTCCTGCAGCGAGTGCTATGCTAGGAGGGAGGTTGAAGGGTCTGGCAGCCGGTAGAAGCCAGGTGGAAGTGAAGACCCCAGAAGCTCGTGAATTTGGTCAGTGCCAGAAGGTGGAATCCTGCACCCTGGGACTCTCCAGGAGGATTTTGGACACATCCCAGCTCTTGAGGTTGGTGCTGAAGCTGATATTAACTTGACTCCTGGATCACATTAATGCCAAGAACTGGGGATGGAGAAAAAAAATCTTTTCATTTGTTATTTGGTACAAACACTAGACCAATTTGAAGGGGTAAAAAAAAAAAAATCAGAATTCTAGGGTTATTTTTCCACAAAACCTTTCATTAAATCTGAGTGTGCTCAGTAGCTGGCGCTAATGGCTACAAAGTGTTGACAAGTGGGTGTCCTGCTGAACCTGCACTCCTGAAGGACAGAGGACTGTTGTCACCAGCATGGGAAATGCCTGCTCCCCCAGGGTGGGTCTGAGACTCTTGAAAACTGCTTGACTTAAAAGACTGTAAAAAGGGTCCCCCACAGGGTCTGTGCACAGAGCGATGCTCAGCAAATCTTTTGTGCAAAGACAGGGCAAGATACATCTGTCTGGTCTATATCTGAATTTTCACTTACTGCAAATTATTCAGCAGCAAGTTAATAAAGGCTGCTGGATCAGGAATCTCAAGGCCTCCAAGTCACACTTGGTGGAACCATCCTGGGCAAAGGACGGGGATGGTCCTGCACTTCGTACCTGAGTAAATAGGACCTATTGTCTCTAGTGAAGGCCAGAGACAGAATATGCCTTCTAAAGGGTGTGCCTTGGGACCTGGGAGAATTATTCTATTTGACCATGGATAAAGGGCTTCTCAGATGTGCCACAGTTGACATTATGGGCCCCAAAACTCTGTTGTGGAGGCTGTCCTGTGTGTTGTAGGATGTACAGCATCTTCAACCTGGACAGTAGATGCTAATAAAACATCCACTCCTGTAAGTTGTGACAAACAAAAACGTCTCCAAACATGGCCCAGTGTCCTGTGGGCCACAGACCTGCCTCTGGCTGAGAATTATCGAGATCGGCCCAAAAGAACCTGTCCTCAAAGAGCTTAAAGTTGGCTATTAATTGCAGCACACATGCCAGGCTTCGAAGCCCTGGGAATGGAAACCCGAGAGAGAGAAGCTGCATTCATGGTCTCTGATAACTGTCCCCGTAATTTCAATTCCAGGGAGTCCTTTCTTCTTTTCTAGGAACTATATTTCTGAGGTCCCAAGTGACACATTCGACTCATTAAGGCTTCTTAATTCCCACATGAATTATTGCTGGAAGGGTCTGAAGGCCCAGTAGCTTGCCTTATTACACCTGTAGTTATGAGCAGTGACTATGGCCTTTATTACAACATTCAGCACCAGCCATTAAATTTGAGGCATGAAAATGATTATTTCACCCCCAAATCCACTTACCGCTGGCACATTTCCATGCATGTTCTCATACCAAGCAGAGCCTTCGGAGCACTCTGTTGCCTGTCTCTCCGATGCTGTGGCCCCTCTGACAGTACCGGATTTGCTGAGGCTCCATGTCAATCATTCTTCGTTACTGTTCATGAAGTCCAAGCTTCCAGTTTCCTTAGGTGCTGCCATTAGCCAATATTTCAGTAAATAAAGCAAAAGCCAGTGCTGTCACTCTCTACCATTTCAATAAAGGATCTTTCTTTTCCCTGCAGAAATCCAGTAGGACTAAAACCTTCCTTGTTTAGCTTGGGGCTAAACACACCCTACAGGAACCAGAAAAACCATCTAATTTTTTCAATGAAAGCCTGTGCCAGTCAAAGACATTCTTACCTACTCACACTTAAGAAGCATCAAAAATGTACAAATATTGAAATCCTTCTTCTCGACAGGCAAGTTCTCATGTACACAATTATGAAAAGGAACAGCATTCAGGGAGAGAGAGTACGGAGAACACCTTTGAAATTTCTGAGAAATCCTAAATGCTGCTTCATTTTTGTGTTTTAGATTTCACGGATAATGAGGAGATTGTCTGGGTTTTCATTGGTAGAGGTTCTTAAAGGTTTAAAAAATCTGAATATTAATGCTGCTCAATTGCCCAGTTTAGCCATAGCTTTGGACAAGTCAGGTGGCTTCCATTTTGAGCTCACTGTTGAAAATACAAAGAGCATGCAGCAGATCGCAAGGAACCTGAGAGGTGTGTAGACCAGTGTTCAAAGAAGGGAAGAAAGAGAAGAGTCACGGGAACAAATTCTTCTTCCCTCACGAAAGAGTTAACAGAAAGAAATAAAATCAGATATGTGTAGCCTCCAGACGTCCATTAAACTGCAGAATGCTGTTTTCTATCACAGATTATATGCCAGATGTTCAAACTATCTCTAATCATTGCAGATGTAATGGAGTAGAATGTTGCAGTTTGTGAGTTTACTGGCATTAATCCTATATACTGCACAAGGGAAAAGATTTTAAATATATAATTATATCTCATTAATACTCAGGTTTTATTTCCTTTCAATGGAACAGGACTTATTAAAGCAACCATTTACCGCATGTTTTCCTTCAGTATTTGGCCCCGGCATAATCCTGTGTGCATTCGACATGTAAATATGTACTAACCTGGGTGCGGAAAAACATCCAGGAATGGCAGTGAGTCCTCTGCTACCAAAATTCACTTTTATATGCATGAGATGTTTTTATATTGTAAATTGATAAGAGAGACTTAACTGCATACTTTCTGAGTTGCTGCTCGGGTTTTCTTCATGCCAGAAATATTTGTATTTCTTAATTTGAAAGGAAATTGCCTGTGCTCGGGCCCTTTATTGCATGTTGGGAGAAGGTGCATTCTGGGCTCCAGAGGGGTCCCACGCGATGGGGGTGAAGGCAGAAACCCCTGCCTGGCAGCCCTCTTCTCTCAGGCACTTGTGGGACTCATCAGAGGACCAAAGGCTTTTTTTTTTAATTTCTTTTTTTTCTCCAGAGCCTTGCCGTGATTTGGATGCATCCCAAGGGGAATGCTGGAGTGAGGAATACAGAAATCCCCTCTTGAGCATGCCTAGCCCCTCTCCTCCAAATAAAAACCAGCAACCTTTCACCAACTATCTGAAGCAGTCTGAGATGGTGAACGCTGACACGGGCCATCCACTGGGCTGGCCGTCGGTCTCTGCCTTCCGCGGATACTAGTCACAGCAGACAGCATCCTACCTTTCTGGTGGCCAGTGCCAGCCTCCCCAGCCTCCTGCCAGGGCGCTAGAATCCTCCCTGCCCTCCAGCTGGGTTTCCTCAGTCAGCAGAGGCTGGCTGGTGGCGATGGGTGGATGCACCCAGGTGAGGAGGCTGAGAGATGCTGGGACCAGTGCCTTGATAAAGCTAGAGGCTGAGTCTTCAGCAAGCCTCCTCTTTTCCTGATTACTATTTAGATCACTTGCAATGACTTATTTGATTATTCTAGTGAGGGACATCTCTGATGCTGGATGATGGGGTCATATCCTTCTTGCTCACCACCACTCCGGTGCCAAGTTCAGTGCCTGACACGTGATCAGCTCTTCCTACCTCTTTCTTAAAGGAGAGAAGGAAAGAATAAATTAATGGATAGCAAAGGCCTTTTGGGAAAAGCTGGGTGCGGCTGACAATTTAGTACAACGTCCTTAGCTATCACTTTTGGCATGGCAAAGAGTTTGATGGATTCTGTAATAATGAGATTGACGAGACAGATGGTCGTTGCCAGGAATTCAGCAGAGGCAGGGGTGATGGAGAGGCGATGGCTCCGTATCAGAATGAGGGGCGGGAATGGGAGGTGTGGGCAGCTCAGTTGTGGTTTCAGTCCCCTGGGGATGCCGTGATGTGCAGGTCGCAGGGAGGGCGCGCCGCCGTGTGTGAGGCTGAAACAGAAGGGCTGAGTTCATGAAGCAGAGGCACCCAGCTCATGAAGCAGAGGTACCCAGCATGGCTGGGTGGCTGGCAGTACCCAGAGGTGGAAAAAAGTCCCAAAGGACTGATCCTTGAAGAAGGTGATGCAGGGTATAATGGGAGTGGGGACCCAGAGATGGGAAGGAAAGGGAGGACTTGGGCGTCTCTGGAATAGAGGAAGCACAGCGACGGACCCCTCTTTTAAATATTCAAGTTGTTCTTAGATGCCACCCACTGATTACAGCCTCTCTCTCTCTCTCCTCTCTCCCTCTCTCTCTCTCCCTCTCTCTCCCTCCCTCCCCCTCCCTCCCTTCTCCCTCCTCCTCTCTCCCTTTGCCTCCTTTTTCTCTCCCTTCCTTTTCCTCCCCTTCCTCCTTGTCCTCTCCTCTCTCTTTCACTGTGGGACATCAAGACCAACAGGAATAAACATCCTCAGTATTTGCTTACTACTGAGAAGCAGAACTGGAAAGAGCAGATCTATTTGCTCTCTCTCTCTCTTTTTTTTTGGTACCGGGGATTGAACGCTGGACCTTGCACTTGCGATGCAGGCAGCAGAACCACTGAGCTAAATCCCTGGCAAGAGCAGATCTATTTGGAGAGAAGTTTCCATATTAGATTTAATGGGTGAGGAGGGCTAATTTCCATTTCCTTTTCCCTTTCGGCAGTGGATCGCTGCAGAAGCCAGAACCAACAGGGCAGTAGGAGTGGGGCTGGCTGTAGGTGAACAGGTGCTCCAGGGCAGGAGGGATAGGCTGAGCGGCAGCAAGAGGGCCAGCTGTCTGCCTAACAGGGGCCCCTTCCCATGGAGTCCTACTTGCTCTTGCTAGGGGCAGTGCTCTTTCTCACAGAGAGAAAGAGACTGTGAGCTGGAGGAGGAGGACTGTCCAGTCGAGGAGGTAGGAGCTGAGCACTGGTGAAAACAGATGCCACAGGGCGTTCACTTAGGAATAAGGCCAGAGAGATGGAGGCCGTAGGAAGGTTCCATGCAGCACCACTAGGACAGAATGGCAGCAACTGGGCATCTCTACTGAGCAGGAGTGGAAACGCAGATTAGGACAGAAATCTGAAGGCTCCAGAAGACCAGAACAGAGTACCTATCCTTTTGAAGGAGGACAGCAGCCACCAACCATTATTTCCTGATGGTTTTATTTAACACCTCTCCGATTTAAAGAACCTTCTCTGTCCACACACTTGTCTCCAGGATAAGATTGTTTGTTTTAGGAAGAGGGGAACTATCTCTCATTGAACATGTGCTAAGTGCAAGAAGGAAGCACAGAATGGATGAATTAATAGAGAATTGATCAAAATAGATATGTGCCAAGGCTCATTACGTAGTATACAAATGAAACTGGAATGTTCTTAAAAAGTTAAAAAATATATGACCTGTTAAGTTGCCTGAGTGGAACCTGAAAATCAGTGGTAGAGAATAGAATTTCCATCCATGTAGTTGTTGGGGATCAGTAGTGAGCCAGGGGGTGGGGTTGTGTTTACATAGGTGGTCTTGATGGAGTCACCTTACCCAAAGGCAAATGAGGACAGTCTGGGAAGGTCATCATGTGCAGTGGATGCCAGGCTCCAATTCCTAGTGGGGTGGAGGTCCATACATGCCCTGTGCTCAGGGCATGGACCAGGCTGGACCAGGGCAGGCACTTGTTAGTTGATGGAGTGATATCCAGACCCTTCACAGGTAGGGGTGGTCATGAATCCTTGTTCCACTTGGCAGTAGACCCTTTCTGAAGGCCTCATGGGAGCATGTCCAGATGACACTCTGTGTTCTGGCCAGCCTTAGTCCACCCTCTCCTATATCATATCTTGCATGGAAGCTGTCCCTTTTTGACTTTCTAGAGTTTGATGTCTGAGGCCCACTGCTCTGTTGTCATGTACATTGCTAGGAGTATAGGCAGCCGTGCTTTTCTGGCCAGCTAACTGAGAGTCTCTCTTGTCCTTGCACTTCACAAAGTCTGTGCATTTGCACATACTTCTCTCACGCTAGGCTTCCCTGGGACTGGGGTCCAGCAACATAGGAGCATGAGCTCTGAGGCCTGTCTGTTATGTTTGAAAACCAGCCCATATTTTATTGACTCTGACCATAGCCAAATGATTTATTCTCTGCATTCCTTGTTTCCTCATCTGTAAGTCAAGGTACTGTTTGAGAAAGAAATGGATGTGTACCGATGTGCTCAAAGGAGTGTCTGGCTTTCTAAGCACCGCAGGTAGAACTTCCTAGGAAGTAGCTCAGAGGTGGGAGTTCACACGCAGCAGGTGCATTAGCAGGTGCATTGGGGTGCATTAGAGGGTGCCCTGGAAATGCATGATTGGGAGGGGGAAGGGAGGAAATGAGGACTGCACAGAGGGATACACCAGTGACATTCATGGCTACCCCTGCTGCAAGCTCTGGGGTGATGTGGGCTTTCTAGAATGGCTCAGAGCTAGGCTGAGAAAGCAATCCTTTACACTTCTTTGTCACCTTCTGGATGTGTGGTGACACTGGTTGAGGCACTCTGCAGTTGAGGCAGCTCAGGAAAGAACTGCCAGTTGGTGGTCATCTGCTGAACCTCAGGAGCCAGGGCTATAAGCCTTTCCTGGGAAAGGGACCTGGAAAGGGAGTCATACTGTCCACCACTGGCTGCCCAGTCAGCTGTTCAGATTCACTTTTTCATGTGGATTCAGAAAGCAGTTGCCACAGGATGTCCATCAGTTTGCATCCTAAGGGAAACTTAGGGGAGGAAAGCCACTGAGGTGAACTACAGTTGCGGCTGCCACAAATGATCTTGGTACTGATGGATGACATCTGCCTGCATCACTCTCTGGTCTGCTTTCCTCAGCCTCAGCCAGCACCTGTGCTCCCCTCAATGGGTTAGTTGAAGTCATTACTCAGGCCTTTATCTATAAAGGCATGGTGGTTTGTATTTCTGGTCTCAGGTAAGGGTTGCTATGTTTGTCCACTTATTACCATGGGGAAAGCCATGCTGCAAGGTGCCCAAGTAGGTCACCTGGCTGCCAAACACATCTCCTTTTCCCTCCATATGCATCTCCTCCTTATGAGCAAGGTCAAGTACTCTGCTAGAATGATGACTGTACTTTTTGCTGGCTGGTCTCTTGGCACAAATATCTGAAGTATCCATGGACAGCTGGAGCTTGGAGTTAAATGGAATTCTTCTGGTGGGAGTCCCCCTCTTTGGAACCAAGAGATTTAAAATTAAAGAAGCAGTGTTGTGTGGTGGAGGTCCCAATTTCCCAGTACATCTACACTCACATCCATTACAGCTTAGTAAAAGAAAGTCACCATCCGAGTGTTCCTGTATATAATGGAGTCTCTGTCAGGTAGACTTTGGCCAGGATACCACTAGTTTACTCATATCCTTCTTGATTGCAAATTGCATTTGTTATATCCCAACAGCCCTCAGAAGTCTTAACTTGTTCTAGCACCAACTTTAAAATCTAAGTCCAAAATCTCATCTAAATACCATCTAAATCAGATATGGATAAGACTGAGAATATGATTCATCCTGAGGCAAATTGCTCTCCAGAACCTGTGAAACCAACATGATGTGTGTTTTCAAACTATAGTGGTGGGACAGGCATAGGATACACATTTCCACTCCAAAAGCAGAAACAGGAAAGAAGAAAGGGGGAACAAGTACCAAGGAAATCTACAACCCAACATGGCAAACGTTAAACTTTAAGGCTCGAGAATAGTTTTCTTGGATTTGACTCTCTGACTTCTGGACCCACTGGAGCTGTGGTCCCCCACTCTGTGGCTCTGTGGTAGGAGTTCACATGTAGGAGGTTCATCAGCAGGGTTAGAGTCAGGCACCTATAGTTCTTCCATGCTGGAATCAGGCACTAGTGGCTCTCCCGGCTTCAGGTAGGGCTAGCCCCACTGCCAGGGCTCTGCTAGGCATTGCTTTTGTGGGCTGTGGTTGATGCCTCTGCCTCTGCATGGCCCTTCTATCCTCATGGATGCAGGTCTCTGCCCGCAGCTCTTTCTGGATAGAGCCCTGAGGCTCTGCTGGGTGTCCTTTGAAATCTAGGTGGCTATAGCCCTACCCTCACAGCCCATGTACTTGGTGTAGCAGAGAAAGCATGCACATGGAAGCTGCCCAAGGTTTCCATCTGTGCTCTCCAGAGTGGGGTAGCCACTGGGGCCGGCACCGTTACAGGGTCCATGGAGCTGCATCTTCGGCAGCTAAAGAGTGGGATGCTAGGGAATGGTGAATGTGGGTCCTATGATGTGAGGGCTCCTTTGAAACCACTTTGTCCTCAAGGTCCTCTCCAGTTCCTCTGTCATAGGAAAGGCAACCCTGATGATTTCTGAATTGCCTTCTGGGTCATTATTTCATTGTCTTGAACAATAGCTCCTGCTCTCCGCAGAGATGGCTGACCAATCTCCTTTGCATTTTCTCCTGAATGGCTTTTTCTCACCCTTTTCAATTTGGATAGGCTGAAGAATTTTAAAATTCTTTAAATTCTGCTTCCTTTGGAATAATAATTACATTTGAAGTTATTTCTCTCTTCTCACAATTTACTAGAAAGAGTCAGGAGGAGCCAACTTGTGCCTTCTATATTTTTCTTAGAAATGGCTGCAGATAAATATCCAACTTTATCTTTCATGAGCCCACTCTTACATAAAACAGTAGAACATGAGCACAGTTCAACCAAGTTCATTGCCACTTTATAACAAGCATGGCCTTCCCTCCAGTTTCCAATAACTTGTTTTTCATTCCCATCTGAGACCTCATCAGACTAGTCTTACCATCTATAGTATTTCTATCGATATTCTGTTCAGGAGAAATTAAATGTTCACTTGGTAGATTGAGGGTTTCCTAGATCTCTCTGGAGAGATCTTCACCAGAATCACCCATAATGATCCACTCATTGTGATATAGACCTTTCCTATCATGTACCTGGAAACTTGTCCTGTCTCTCTCTACTCGCTGCCTGCTCCCAAAGCTTCTTCTATACTTTTAGTTGCAGTCATATGCAGTATGGCAATGTGTCAGTAAAAGACATCCTGCATACACAATAGTGGTCCCACTGGGTCATAATCATACCTGGTGACATCACAGCCACTTTTGTTTGTGTGAGTATACTTTATGATGCTTGCACAACTCTGAAGTCACTTAATGATGCATTTCTCTGAACCTATTCATCATTTAGGGTACTGTTACTGTATTTGTCACATCAGCACCACAATTCTCAGCACCAATTTCTGTCTTACTGTGTTCAGGCTGCTATAACAGAATGGAGAAGAATAAACGGCTTGTAAACAACTGAAATTTATTTCTCAAAGTTCTGGAGGCTGAGAAGTCCAAGGTCGAGGTGCTGGAGGCTTTTGTGACTAATGAAGGCTTGCTGACTTGTTTGTAGAAAACTTTTTGGTGTTTTCTAACATGGTGGGGAAAAGAAGAAAGCTCTTATGGGACCCTCATAAGGACATTAACCCGATGAATGATGGCTTTACTTGCACGATCATATCATGTCCTAGTTATTGCCCAAAGATCTCACTGCCTAATCATATCAAGGGAGATACAAGTAGTAGGTTTTGTGTGTGTGTGTGTGTGTGTGTGTGTGTGTGTGTTACTAGGGATTTAACCCAGGGCCTTTATAAGTCACCAAATTGCCTAGGATGGGATCCAATATGCAATTTTCTTACCTCAGCCTCCCAGTGTGCTGGGATTACAGGGGATTATGTGCCACCATACCCAGCTAGTAGTAGGGTGGCAACACATGAATTGGGAGGGGCACAGGCATTTAGTCTATAAGAGCACGGGGCATGTTTATAAAGGGTGCACTTGGTCTGGGTACCTGTGGAAGGGAGGGAGAAGAAGCCTCCTTAAGGCTTGATGCCTGCTGATGAGGAGCTCTGAAGCAGGAGGAGCCCCTCAGAGTGGCAGTAAATGTCCCTGAGGTCAGGCCATTGAAGATGAGGTGCTCAGGAAGGGCCCAGCCTGGGGGAAGGGACTTTCCAAATGGTGGTTTGACAGGTGATGGCTCTTTACCCACTGCAGTCACCACAGCTGAGCCTCACTGAAGGGGAATCTGGGCAACTCAGCAGTGTGCCCCAAAATGTATGTTATGATGCTTTTATTGGTATTGTTTTTCTCTCCTCCATCCTCTAAGACAGCACATAAATAATAAATATTCCTGAAGAAACAGAAGTGGGCAAAATGTGTCTGGAACACCCTCTGGAGAAAATGACCCTCTGCTGAGCATTAGTTGGGGCCGCAGGAACACGGAGGTGGTTGAGGAATTCTGGAACCAGCAGGTCAAATGGTTCTAGGTTTGTTGCCTGGCTTGTCCCTTGTTAGCAATGGATCCATGGCAGTCTCTCATGGGGATACAAACTGGCATCTGGAGTGGGCACATGTTCAGGGTTGGATTGTTGGGATCGGGTAACCTGGATCCACTGGAGCCCGCATCCCCATACTTGTGCCATGAATAAGCCAGAAGCATCTCTGTTCCCTCCAAACAAAAGTTGACCATTCTGCAGTAAGAGCCAGCAAAGAAGCAGATCCCAATGAGATAGGGACTCCAACATTTAAATAACCTGTTAAGTGACTCTCACTGTCAATACTCTGATTTGCACTCAAGCAAGACAAGTTGGATGCTTTTGAATGGCCTCAAATATGTCAATATGTAACAAGAAGATAAGAAGGAGAATTAGGTCCAGCACCCTGGCTCTTTGCTTTGCATCTTTCATTTTCTTGGCTAGATGGCTAAATGGTTTTATATGGAACCTGAAATTGCTGTCTAATGCTAATTTGCAAACGATACAATCAGTGCTGAGGTAAATGATATAGAGAATTGATACTGGAATAAATTGAGACTTGTTCCTTTAAATAACTGTATTGACAAAACCTTGGCACAAAGAGAAGGGGTCTTTGTGAAGCATCAATGCTCTTCCAGAGAGCTAAGGCCTGGATTTAGGGAGACAGGCATCTAGAGTCTGAGGCAAGCTTGCACCCTGGGTCCTCTGTATACCAGGTCATTCCCTCTGTAAGTTATTTTATTTCTTCATTTCTATAAGATGAGTAATAAATACCACAGTGTTGTAATGTGGACAACATGACACATTGCATTTAAAATACTTAATCCAGTATTTGCACAGAAAAGATAATATTAGCAATGATTATTTATTATGACCACTCTTCTCCCACCTAAGGTACTGAACACTGGCTTCCGTGGAAGTCGGTGCTGGGGTAGTCATAACAGGTAGAGCCTATCTCCAAATGTTTCTAGCTTGTTGCAAGGAAAGCCAGTGTTCCTGGGGCCCTGTGGAATTCTGAGGATGGGTTGGAAACCCCAGGAGTTAGGGAACACTCTTCCTTGAAGGAGGATTGTAGTTACAATCCAAGGAAATCCCATAAAAAGTTCATTGAAGTTGAGAGGAAACTTGCATTCTTGTTGAATTTTTCTTAGGCCCACAAGATCCCCCAACTGCTTCCTTAATGCACCCCCATCATCATCCACGATCTTCTTAAAGATAGGGAGTCCTCTGATGTGGCTAAAAGTCCTGAGTCTTATGGAGTGCAACAATGTGGTCAGCCATTTCCCATCTAGATGCTTCAAGGATGGAAAATCCTACACTTGGCTCATCAGTAAGAGAACCTTCCTTCCTGCTTATCCTAGAAAGCATGTGAGGCATCATACAACATATTCTATTTTTGTGTTGGCATCATTTGGCCACTTCCTTTTCTGGAGGTATGATCTTGTGGACTATATATGGTCTCTGGCCTCTTCCTCTCCAGTGGGTTCTCCTGCACTGCTTCTTGTGCATCATGAACTAAGCATCTTTACTCCACCATGATGTTTCTGCCTTGGAGCAAACTGACCATGGACTGAATCCCCTGAAACTGTGAGTCAAATTAATCCTCTTTTCCTTTAATTTGCAGGTGTTGAGTATTCTGCCCCAATAATGGGCAAGATGACTAACACCACATGCCTCTGGTCTTTCTTTTCTACTCATTTATTATTAAATATTCCTGTTTCCTAGTGCCCTCAGATCACTCCTTCTTTCAGGTGTTATAGATGACATCACTGATGAAGAAGATCTCAGTCCTTAAATATAGAAGAAGGTCTCAGTTACTATAGTGAATACTCATTAAACATGGGTTGAATGAGGGGGAGAAATTCTGCAATACTTTGTGGTTCAACCTTTAGGTCAGCTCTATTTTATGTGTAATATAAGAAAACAAGTAGAACCAGCTACTATGGTCATGGTAACCAAGGACCTTCTGATCCAGGAAATTGATTTCATCCATTCATCTCTTCTTGAATTGGATCCAAATGGTGCCTTGTAATAGGCATTTTAACATGTTGAAATATTATTTCTAAAATAGTCATTCAACACAACCTGTCTGGAAGTTTTCTGGAGAACAGATATTTTTGGAATCCTTTTGACAGCTAGGCCAGGCAATTGTGGTAGAGAATGACTAATGAGTAGTCACTTTGTCTCTCAGCCTCACTTCTTGCTGGCTGAGAGTCATATGGAATGCTAGGCATGGTTCTGCATTGGACCAGCCCAGGACCTGTAAGGGGCTTTGGGTGTTAAAGCTAGTCCTTTCTGATGAGATTGTCCTGTGGCAATATCCATAACAGAACCCTCTTAACAGCCACGCTAGTCAAAGGGAATTTAGAATCAACTATGTACCCAGGTGGGGGTTGGCATACATGAGGTTGCTCTAAATGCTTTTTTTTTGTCAGCACTGAGGATTGAACCCAGGGCCTTCACACTGAGCTATATGCCCAGCCTTCTTCCCTTTAAAAAACTTATTTTCACATAGGGTCCAGGCTGGGGTCAAATTTGTGGACCGCTTGCCTCTGCCTCCCAGAGTGCTGGGATTATAGGCATGCACCACCATGCCTGGCCAAAAGTGCTTAATTTTTCAAAGTACTTACTTGACTCCATTTTCTTCCTCTTAATGAACTACTGTTTTCCAAGGTGTACATCTTCATGGCTTTGATTTGGCAATGGAAAGAATTATGTTGTCTTTGGCTGCTTCCACGTTAGTTGCCAGCATGGAAGAGAAGTGCTGTTCTCCTTAAACAGGCAGAATCCTGCATAGATGTAAGGAGCCAGTATGCAGGCATTTGCCCAGGTCCCCAAGTGAAGCTAGACAAGAGGTAGGCAGAGCACAGCCAGTGCTGAAGGCTGCCCAATAGGCAGAGCAGTGTGATTTGGAGCAAGCTCTGAAAACCATAAGCAATTGAACTCCCCTCACCCAGGGGAAAAGGTGCAGTGGAGGAAGAACACACACTGACTAATGGATTATCCCCACCTCATAAAATGCTCAGGGTAACTATCAGACAACAGATGCACATGCCGCCTCCAATCTCCAGAAAACTGGGCTCATAAGGAGGGGAGAAGGTCAGCAAGGTTTCCCAGGCCGAGACCCTGTGAGGTCTGATAAGAAAGGGAGCAATTTTAAAAATCAATGGAATATTTACTAGAGACCTGAGTATAGTCCTCAATCTATTGTAAAGGTTGCTTCACAGGTATCTATAAATAAAAGACACTTGCCCTTCCAGGAGGGGCTCGTAGAAACTGGGAAAAGGTACAAGAGAGAGGGGAAAAAACCCTCTCCATATCAGAACCTTCTGTGATAGACGGCATCTCCTACTGACATTTTCATTAGCAGGAAATTTATGTTCCTATTTCTGTCTGTTGTAATGACCATTCATAGCCATAGTGTGGTGGCGGCTAATGGACAGGAATGGAAAAAAAAAATCCTTAATTAATGCAGAAGTGAAGAATTTTCTTTCTACACTTTGAGAAGCCAAGTAATTCACAGCAGTTCTTGGCACTGGAGTGGAGGTAAAATAATTATACACAATTTCTAGTGATTAAAAGATTGTAAAATAATTTTAGTTACATCTTAAAATTATTTATCTTGTAAATGAGAAAGAGTGAAGAAATGGGAGGTTCAGAGGTTCAGAGCACACCTTGAAGAAACTTTCTCTTGGATTCCTGACTGCCTGTGGCATTTGG